TAATTGAAGAAAGGCTTTCAATGCACGGCAGTATTAGATCTCAATTACAGGTTGGGTGGTAGTTCTGTTATATACATGTTAGACCCATAGACTGGTGTTACATAACCTTTGGGTATCTATTACCATGCTGAGTTAGGCTGTGCCATGTAATCTCTAGAGCTAATCCTTAGTGCGTAACTTTCCTTTTCCGCAGATGTGTCTTACCCTTAGCTGTTGATTGGACATTGATGACTTGACCCTTTCATATTTTGAAGCAACATGTATTTTGTTTGGGCCGAAGGAAGCTGTGTTTTGATATTGTTACAAAAAGTGTTTCTTTCACAAGATGTACTGGAGTCCTATAGCTCAATGGTTATAGCATTCACCTTGCAAGCGAGAGACTTCAGTTTGATTCCCGACAGGGCGAAACCTTGGGCAAGCTTCCTTACTCCACACGCCTGATAATAATCCCTCAAGAAAAAAAACAATAATAATTTGGACACTTAATCCACGACTGTTTTTGAGACACTGCTGTGTGCAATTGACTGTGCGTTTCACCCACAAATATGCAGTCAATTCACTTTACAGTATATTCTGTTAAGCGCTTTGAAACATCTAGAAGATGTGAAAAGCGCAATATCAAATACAAAGATTATTACTACTGTAAAGTGTAGTAATCATGTATTTTGTAGGTGAATATACACTGTATAATAAGGTACCTCTAGGTGTAAAAGGAATCTCTGTGCCCTTTTGCAGGATACGTATATCCATATTCTTTCCCATAGTGTTATATGTAGAATCTAGAGAAGTTTATAAGATGCTTTCTAAAAAATTTATGGAATCATTAGGAAATAATTGGTTTTACTCAAAAGGACAATGGAATGTAGCAATTGGAGAGAATCTTGTGAAGGGTCATTGATGTATCTCTCTTTTTCAGATGCTGATTGAGCGGCCTTGCAGTATTTTCTATTTTTATTTGAGATTTCCAGTATTTACCGATATATTTCTGTGCCTACTCAGACAAAACCCATTAGCCTACTATAATAATTTTCCTGTATCAATAAGGCAATAGAAGTAAGTTGTTCGAATCTGGAACGCATTGCCTGAAAGGGTGGTCGAGGCCGATTCGATAACTATTAAAAACGCAGTGGACAGGTATTTGAGGAGGACAGGTTTGCAGGGTTATGGGGAAAGGGTTGGGGAGTGGGATTGACATTAATTGCTCTATTCAAAGAGCCGGCACAAACTCAATGGGCCGAATGGCCTCTTTTTGTGCTGTACGATTCTATGATTCAATTCTGATGGGTTGTCAGAAGAGTAAGACTCAAGAATTACAGTGTTAGAGTGAAACCCATTTGTGTAGTACTTTACAGATTTTATTTTTAAAGCAGAAAGTAAAAATGTTACTTTAAAGTACATAATAAAATTTTGCATTTTGTTTTCATTCATAGATCTATTTAACGATACCAGCTCTTTGACACAGGTTTGATACATAATTTGAAATCAAAATCAGCAAAATATCTCTGCTGTTTCTTTACATCTGCTGCACCCATTTTTTTGTTTTACATGTTTACTTTTACAGTGAACAGTGGCACTTGGTGAAATGCTTAAATACTGATGTACTTTACTGACCCTTTGCGTTAAGGACAACCTCATCACAGATTCATTCCAAGTCACATGAAAGGCAACCTGGAAAATCAGCTTGATCAATGTACACAACTACAGTATCAATGTGGTTTTATTTAGATGGAAGGATCATTCTGCAAGGAGCTTGTTCCTCTGGGTTCAAGGAGAATAAACTGGCCTGCTTTGTTTGTAGAGGTTCATGCCTAATCCTGCTGAGAATGATGGAAGAATCTTCTTTATCAACGAAACATAAAATGTCCTCATCTTTATCTAGATTATCCATCTTCCAATTGATTAGGTTTTGTTCCAATTAAATAGTTGCTATGATCTTGACATCTGTCAAACAAAGCAATATTAACAGATAAGGGGATTGACTAAATCTGTAACATTGTCCTAAAGTACTGCCAAGCTTATATAATAGCCTATTGTCTCCGACTTATTTGTGTAACCTATTTGAATACGTCAGCTTGATGAATGGAAAAGTTGTTTATCCATCCATGCTTTCTTGCACTATGTTCAATTACTGGTGGGATTATTACTTCATTATTTATTTATTAGTCCTAAGTGTGGAGGATACATGATTCATCTCATGCTTAATGTGACCAGATGAATTCAGACACTGCGGTCCACAATCAAAGAAACCTGTCATTGCTTCCTATTGTCTAAAACTGTTCCTCCATTTTTGCCAATGTGGCACCTGGACAGTAGGTAGAACATTTCCCCTGAGTTCCTTCAGTTTCCATGGTTACAAAACTGGATGATTATACTTTTTCCACTTGGGGGAGGATGAGGTAAATGGTGCTAATGGTATCGGCTTGAATGTAAACATCACATTTACTCGTGAATGTTTTTGTCTTTTCATGAACACCCTGTGCTTTTGCAGGTTATATTGATTAAGCAGTGTGTTTTTTGTCTTCACATCATGTACTGCCACATTGGTTCAGTCACTCTCCTTGGGAACATGTTGAACAAATATAAAAGATTGTTTTAGTTACTTTACTTGGTTTAGCTCAATGACTATGGTAACCTGGTCAGAAATGAATTGTGGTGCAGTGATCAGAATTTCAAATTAGGAGACTGACTCTCTGAAACATCAACAACAACTTGCATTCATATAGCACCCTTCATGGAGGGTAACGTCTCGGGTCACTTCCAATGACACCGAGCAGGGTAGAGGTGGAAGGAGAGAGGGAGGTAGCCATAAGCATGTTCAAGAGGTAGGAATGGAAATGAGTGGGGGTGAATGGGGGTAAGACAGAGTGGTAAAGGAAGTTCCAGAGGTACTGGGTGTAGAAATTGAAGGTTTGCTGAAAACCTGAGTTAGCTAAGTGGAAGGGGCAGAAATATGGCATCAGAAATTGGAGAGATAGAGAAGCGCCAGAGAGTGGATGGATTTGTAGGTGAGTGCGAGGACCTTGAAATCCATCTTGTAGGGAGGAGCAAGACCATGGAGGGCTTTGAAAGTGAGGACGAAGATCTTAAACTTGATCCTCTGGCGAGGATGGGGATGATGGGCTTACTGTTGGTGCGGGAGAGGACATGAGCTGCAGAGTTCTGAATAATAATAATCTTTGCATTTGACACAGTGCTTTTCACGTCTTCTAGAGTCTCAAAGCGCTTCACAGAAAATACTGTAAAGTGAATTGACTATTTTGTGGACGGAATGCGGTAGCCAATTGTGCACAGCAGTGTCCCACAAATAGTTGTGGATTGAGTGGCCAAATTATTATTTAAAAATTTTTTTTGGAAGGAATTATTACCCCCGGAAAAGCAATCAGCCAATCGACTAAAAACCGGGTTCCTGCTTACCGCTACGTAAACAGAGGCTTGTGGAGCAAGAAAACTTGCTCAACCTTTCACCCTGCCCGGGAATCAAACCCAGATCCTCTCACTTGCACGACGAGTGCTCTAACCACTGAGCTACAGGATTTAATGTAGGGATACTTCCACTAGAGACAGCCAAAGGTTATTTCAACACCACTTCCCTTCACCTGTGACCCTCAGCAAACTTGACACCTCATTCTTGACCAGGCAGGGTAGAGGTTACTAACGGGACTCAATACATTCTCTAGAAATAAACAAAGTTACCGGGGCCACAACCAACCCAACGCCCTTGGGGAAAAAAAAGAAGTCTTTTTAAATATATCTTTCCCAGTTTTCGTTTGGGGCGACGTAAAAGAGATCCTTGCGCACCCAATAGCACTGCGGTCATTGTATTTTATTTTGTTAATCATAATAATAATGTAACCAATAAAGATTTGCCGGATGCTTGTAATGGATAAAACTGTGTCCTTTTTTTTAAAAAATATTTTTTATAAATAAAAAAGATACAGTATTCAGCTCATGGGGGGGGGGGGGGGGGGGGGGAGGAGTGGGGGTGCACTGCTGGATAGACAGATCATTTTGGTTTCAGGTGGATGCTGCTATACGTTGGCATCCAATTGATGCAATAAAACGTATGTATTAGAACTGTGCTGTGGACTATCTGCACATCGTGGCATAAACCCAACAGGGAAACGTTATACAGAGCTGAGGGGGAGAGGTGGGGGTGGGGGGGGGGAGTGGGGGGGAAGATTAAAAAAAAATCTCAGATTAAATTAGATTTTCTCTCTGTACTTGATTGCTGTCTCTAGGCAACCGATTCCTGACGAAATATGTTCCTACTCGTGCATCTGTGTTATAGACAGTGTGTTCCCGGGATCTTAGCCAAAAAAAAAGGCAGCAGCAGCCAAGCCAAGCTCAGCCCAGCCCAGCCCAGCCCGGCCCAGCCCGGCTCAGCCAAGCCCAGCCCGGCTCAGCCCAGCCCAGCCCGGCTCGGCTCAGCCCAGCCAAGCTCAGCCCAGCCCAGCTCGGCTCAGCCCGGCCAGGATCCGCTGGGGAGTGAGTGGGGAGAGATGGGTTGAAAAACATCCTGGGGCTGTTTTGGGCTTTCACGTTTTAAGAGTTCTATTCGCCCATATTGTTGTTTTTTTTTGTAATTTCTTTGTCTGTCTTTCTGTCTGTCTGTCTGTCTGTCTGTCTGTCTGTCTGTCTGTCTGTCTGTCTCCCTTTCCAGTTTAAAAAGAAAACGATGTGAAATTTGAATGTGTCTTTAGGGGGTTGTGTGTGTGTGTCTATGTGAGTGTGTGTGTGAGTGTCTGTCTGTGTGTGTGTCTGTGTGTGAGTGTCTGTGTGTGTGAGTGTCTATGTATCTGTCTGTCTGTCTGTCTGTGTGAGTGAGTGTGTGTGTGTCTGTCTGTGTGAGTGTGTGTGTGTGTGAGTGTCTGTGTGTGTGTATGAGTGTCTGTGTGTGAGTGTCTATGTATCTGTCTGTGTGTGTGTGTGAGTGAGGGAGTGTCTGTGTGTCTGTCTGTGTGAGTGTGTGTGTGAGTGTCTATGTGTCTGTGTGTGTGTGTGTGTGTGTGTGTGAGGGAGTGAGTGAGGGAGTGAGTGGAGAAGTTGTGGTGTGTCACGTATTGAAAGGTGCAGCACTATGGAAGACAATGGCAGCTTCTCGCAGAGCAACGCGAGCGACCCGGACCCGGAGCCGCAGGTCGCCAACGCCACGGCTCCGCACATGGTTTGGAACAGGACGAAACACCCGCTGCTCGGTCCCTTCGGGAGGCTGCAGGGCGGCGGCGAGCAAACCTACCGGGACTTCACCACCTCGGTCCAGATCCTCATCTTCGTAGGATCCGTCCTGGGTAAGTGAGAGACCCGAGACAGAGAGAGAGAGATAGAGACAGAGAGAGACCCGAGACAGAGAGAGAGAGATAGAGACAGAGAGAGACCCGAGACACAGAGAGAGAGAGATAGAGACAGAGAGAGACCCGAGACAGAGAGAGACACACAGACAGAGAGAGAGAGATAGAGACAGAGAGAGACCCGAGACAGAGAGAGACCCGAGACAGAGAGAGAGAGATAGATAGAGACAGAGAGAGACCCGAGACAGAGAGAGAGAGATAGATAGAGACAGAGAGAGACCCGAGACAGAGAGAGAGAGATAGAGACAGAGAGAGACCCGAGACAGAGAGAGACCCGAGACAGAGAGAGAGAGATAGAGACAGAGAGAGACCCGAGACAGAGAGAGACACACAGACAGAGAGAGAGACACAGACAGAGAGAGAGACCCGAGACAGAGAGAGAGACCCGAGACAGAGAGAGAGACACAGACAGAGAGAGAGACCCGAGACAGAGAGAGAGACCCGAGACAGAAAGAGAGAGATAGAGACAGAGAGAGAGAGATAGAGACAGAGAGAGAGAGATAGAGACAGAGAGAGAGAGACACAGACAGAGAGAGAGACACAGAGACAGAGAGAGATAGAGACAGAGAGATAGAGACAGAGAGACGGAGAGAGAGAGAGAGACACAGAGAGATAGAGAGAGAGAGAGAGAGAGAGAGAGCACTTACTGCAGTGCTGTATCACGACAGCAGGAGAATTGAATGCCAACAGTGGTCACTCCAGATTGAAGCGATTCACTCCACCTCCACCGGGATTTAATGCGCAGCAACACACACTGTGCTGTACCTTAACGTGTACGTTGCCATTACTTTGCACCGCTGGGACACGGTGACAATGTAAATGCTTTCTCTTTCTTTCTCTCTCTCTCTCTCTCTCTTTCTCTCTCTCTCGACCTCTTGGATTTTCCACTTATCACCGAACTAACACTTGACCTGTCTGCAGCAATGAATGATTTCTTCTGTTGCAGTATTTAACAAAGCTTCCCCCTGGGCCATGTGTACGTTAAGTAATAGATACTAAAAACAACACAACAGTCTTATTTCATTTTTACACATTGCAGCTACACTCCACCACCCCCCCCCCCCCCACCCCCCAAAAAAAACCCTATTTAGTTGAAAAAATATGATGAAGCAAGACGCAGGCGGAGGTGATGTATGTGTTTAACTTGTAGGTTTGGGGACAGTTGTTTACTATCTGGAGTGTAATATTGATTGAGATGCCTTTGTTTTTTTTTCTCATAATGTCCTGGTTCCTGGTTGTCCTCCACCAGCTGCTCATTGTATGCAACCTTGGAGAAAACTTAGGCTGTCCTGTAGATGACAGGCCTTCTGTATTCTATCACAGACTGTCAGAAACAATCTGTATAAAATACACAGACAACAGAGCTATAACCTTTCAGTAAATCTTTAGATGAATCATGCAGCGCGAGCGTTCATTTGAAAGATTATGTGTCTACTATGGCATAGAATACAATAGCTATTTGGAAGGTACATTTACAGGATCTGGGCCGCACACTGAACATCTCAAAACTCTTCACAATCAATTCTGTTAAGTGAAGTGTGTATTTGTAGGTGAACTTGGCAGGCAATTTGCACACAACAATGTTCCACAAGCACACAGGAGATGAATAACCAATTTAATAGGAGGGTTAATGGACAGGATTCTGGGAGAAACTCCCTTCTCTTTTCAAATAGAGTCATGGGTTCTTTAATATCGACCTGAACAGACAGTCACAACCTCGGTTTAATGTCTCATTCAAAGGGTGGCATCTCCGACAATGCAGAGCTCCCCCCAATATTGTGGAGTGTCGGCCTAGTCCATGAGCTCAAAGTCCATGACTTGGGACAAATATTCTGATCGTAGGTTGGAGCCAAACTGACAATAACTTAGAAGATAGATTAGTCAATTTAGGTTGGATGTTATAATGGAAGGGGAATTGCTCTCATATGTCAGTTATAATTAATGGATTATATACAGATCCTTTCGCTGCGGAAAAAAATAGATGGTGTTTTATTTCAATTTCCCTGAGTTTCTGCTTTGATGGGGAGTGTTGCATAAATGATTCAGCTCTAAGGTGGTTCTCAATGTGCAATTCTAGAAGAGATCAGGTATCAGGAATTGAACATTCAACATTCTAATTGATATGTTTTAGTGGTGCAAATAGGTGATGTTATCAACTGCTAGATTGTGGAGAAAATTGCACAGCGCAATTTAAAGACATTACAAATGGCAGAGTGTATTTATATAGGGCTTTCACTTAAGATATTGCCTCAAAATTAGTGGTGGACAGTAACTATGATCTCTGACATTAGTGTCATTCCTGTACCTGTTACTACGTTATGAACTTTTGCTTTCTAATTCATAGATGGTAAGTTCCAACCATTCAATATGCTCAATGCAGGATCTGTTGAAGCTCAAATGCTTTTTAGACAAGATTGAGTATGAATATGGTAGTTTCAGGTATGAATAGTGAAGGATTAGCCAGGTTGATAATCCAATGCAGTGCAGGGGGAAGTACTGAATTATCAGAGGTGCCGTCTTTCAGACGAAACGTTAAACCAAGGTCCCTATCTGCCTATTTAGGCGATCCGTGAAAGATCCCACGGCACTATTTGAAAGGAGAAGGGAATTTCTCTTGCTGTTCTGGTCAACAACATCCCCCTTCCCCCTTAAAGTTCCACCCTGAAAAGCTTTTCAGTCATTCATATTCAGTTCTGAGACGTTGCACAAATTGTTGATAAAGTAAATCCCCTTTTTTGGGGGGCAGCTGGATGTCTGTGCTTAAGAGTATCCAAATCCAACTCACTCCAACAGTATGGGTGGATGACATGGAACACATTAAAGACAGTTGCAATAATGTGTTATACAATTTGTTGAGAACTTAATTTTTTTTCATGGTAGCATCCAACAACTAGATAGTAATTACGCACTGGAAGGCAGAAGGTAAAACAGACCTTCAAATGAACAGCTTCTTAATTGTTTCCATTTGAGTAATGTTGTACATAAAGGTTCAGATTTAATTAATTTCTCTACGCATTACCATTCAAGCATTAGCAACCTGATCACAGTGCTCGCCTTGTACTTAATGACCTTTCCGAGCAGCTGAAAAGTTTCTGTTTGTGTCTTTACACAAACTGATATCAAACTGCAGTTTCTCCTTTCAGACCAGCATGAGACTTCACAGCCAGTTGTGGATCTCTCTGGACTTGGGGTGTTGTTTATGTGATCATTCGAATTTGGATTGATCTGCCTGAAAGGGTAGTGAAGTCCGATTCGATAACAGCTTTTAAGAGGGAACTGGATAGGTATCTGGGGAAGATGGGTTTGCAGGGTTATGGGGAGAAAGCTGGTGATTGGGGTTAGTGAAAGTGACTTGCTCTGTCAAAGAGCTGGCACAGACTCGATGGGCCGAATGGCCTCCTTCTATGCCATAACATTCTCTGAATCTATGAATTTGTGAAAAATTAGTTTTGCTTTTAATTTTTTTTCCAAAAATAAAATATTTCCATTTCACACACCATAGTTTTGACAAGTTTTGAGTTCCAATTCCATGTTCACCAAGAGCTGATTTGGACTCATTTCTTGACTCCTTGTACTTTCCTTTGGTATTTGCTGCTGAATAAGCGTCAGATGATAAATTCACTGCCACTTGTGGTGCTGAGCAATACAGACCAGGAATTGAGTCATATTCAATCCATGATCTATCGCTGTTAGTTAATACCAGCCAGGGAGGCTTATGTGTGTTACAATAGGTCTCAGTATTACTTTGGCTGAGAAAACTCTTAGGGTTTTCCCTGTTTTCCCTGTCTGCTTTATTAATGATACCTGCTATCTAAAATACTTATTTGTGGGTGTAGTGCAAGGACTGTGACAAGCTTAACCTGTGATACCTCTATTATCAGATAGTCTGGACTCAGTCATAAAAAAACTTGACTTGTGGAATTATTGCCCTACATGAGTCATTGCCTTCAGCAGATGAATGGAGAAAATTGGGGGAAAGGGGGATGAGAACAAATTCAGGAAATAAATTAATAATAATCCTTGCATTTGATATAGCGCTTTTTACATCTTCTAGACATCTCAAAGCGCATCACAGAATATACTGTAAAGGGAAGTAACTGTATATTTGTGGGCAAAACGTGGCAGCCAATTGCGCACAGCAGGTAGAGACATCTCTTTAAAAAAAAGTCCAACACATTTTATTATTGTTATCGTGGAGTACACAGTGTAAGTTATTTTTATATTGCATGCCTCTTTGTTTTAAAGGCATGTCAACAAGGCAATGTGGCAACTAAATAAAAGGCAATTAAGTAGCAGAAAATGCCTCTTTTATTCTTGCAAGTTTCTCAAAACTTGTTTGTTTTATTTCCCTCAGGAAATGTTATGGTCTTGTGGTCAACATGCCGCACATCAGTGTTCAAATCTGTTACAAATCGTTTCATCAAAAACCTGGCCTGTGCTGGAATCTGCGCCAGTGTTGTCTGCGTGCCTTTTGATATCGTGCTGAGTGCCAGCCCACATTGTTGCTGGTGGATCTACACTCTGGTCTTCTGTAAAGTGATGAAATTCCTACACAAAGTGTTCTGCTCTGTCACTGTTCTCAGCTTTACCGTCATTGCATTGGACAGGTTAGTGTACCGATCCTTACTGCTGGAATGTTTCCCTTTGGCAGACATATAAAGTTCACATTATGGTTTCTCAAGGACTCTGAGGGGCAACAAGATCCTAATGAAAACATAAGTTAAACCCAAAGAGTCACCTGCTATTGTTGTAAAATATCCGGTGATTCTTCAATTTTATTTGGGATCAACCAAGATAATTATCAGGGGTGGATGTTCCACAATTTACAGTGAATATTTTTAACCATTTGCTTGTTCAGTGCACATTAATGCTGGTTATGATATGGTCTTTATTTTAGTTCACAACAATTGCTTTTACCAGGTATTTTGTGGCTATGTTAGATGCCATGTGGGTCACTAAGTGGGGCTCTTGACAGTAGCTGGGGATGTCCCAAATTCTGTTCGGACTCCTGTCACTATTGACAAAGTGGTGTTATCAGAAGGTGAAGAGGAGTCCACAGCCTCCTCCTACTGCTAAAGATGAATGCACAGAAGTGAATGCTACTAGGAAACAATTGAATAGACATTTATAAATGTTACATAGATTTACATAGAACATTACAGAGTGCAGGTGAGACATTTGGCCCAACTAATCTGTCCTGATGTTTATACTCCATATAAGTTTCCACCCCTCCAAATTCTCTCTGCCACACTTATGTTACATTGGCTTCTGTAAAAATATAAACCATGGCAACTACAGGATGTTCTCATATGAGCATTTGTAAAGAGAATTTTGTGTACATTTATCTTTGATAACACTTTCTTTGTATCGGTGAGATGCATGGAAGTCACAGTTTGTTTTGGATACTCTTCAGCATGGAGATGGGTTTCCTCATACATCACAACCTGGCTGACCAAAAAAAAACACAATGTGTTGGAAAGAATAATATAAAATAACATTGTACATATCAAAGTTTCCTTTCCCCAAGCCCCAATCAGCACTAAAGTGACAAGTGCTATGGACTGCCTCAGACTCTGAATTAAATTATGTGCATTGGATTCAGGATTCTTATTTATATTGTTGGACTGCTCAATACAAACAGCTTCATTCTAGTAGAATAATGTGTAACTTTGGGGTAAAACTTGGCATTTCTGATACACCAGTAATTACTGTAAATTCTATTGTTTCATGACTGAAAAACATTATTTGTTCCTGTAAGGATCTTAGTATTGAGTTGTACTTCTGTTTATTTTCTTGTTCACAGTTTGTTTGAGGCAATTTGTAAGCTTTAATCTCACAGTTGCTGCAACATTGGTGCTCTTGTTTAGCAGAAGACTAATGTTGCTATTGCTATGGGAATAAAACCAATAATGATTTATTTTAAAAAGTAATGATTTATTTTAATAAAAGGCTGTAAGCATGAAAAGCGTATAAAAAGCACCCAAAGCAAGCTACTCTTCAGGTTATATTAAGTAACTTTGGTCTATTTCCAGCCTGTAACCTGTAAGCAAAAGCTTGAAGAACAGCCTTTGTGGCTCGCACAGCTAGACGATCAGCATAGGAGTCTTTTGGATCTTGTATTTTTTGTTTGCAAAAGAGAATGTTAGTGATGAATATAGCTTTGTCCATTGTGGAACGATATTTTATCAGTGTGAAATGGGGTGGATCCCATATATTTATAGATATGTTCTAAAATCTTTTTTATCTGTATTCTGCACTGTAAGATCAAGCACCCAACATAATTGCTAGGAAAGAAAACTGGAGTTCAGAATGGGTGATGTGGCTGACTGCACTTTTTATTCCTGGTGTGGGCTGAATTTCCAATGAAAAAAAGGTTTGCTTTGAGACAAATGGAAATGCAGTTCGATATCAGAAATAAGCTCAAAAAAATGCAAAACAGTTGGCGGCAAAACAGAGACAGGAGCCACCGAAAACCTCCAGTGAGTCTGAAGACATTGCTGCTGACTGGTCACAATGGCTGTGATGTACTTCAGGGCAGTCCAGAAAATGGTATAAAATATAAAATAGGGCTGCAGGGTGTTGTGCATTAGGATGATTAATGGTTTTGCCATGATGAAATGCTAAAAATTGAACTGATGTTGAAAAATAGACATGTCATCAAAAGGAAAAAGGTCTGAAACTTTCTGAAACATAAAATAAAGGTTAGAGTAACTTCACGAAAATGGATTTAACAGTGTTGATCAGAAGAGGCCAGGCTATTAATAATTTGTGTGAGTTTCTTTTTGTGCTGATTCACAGTAGTAAAAGATAAAAGTCCATTTTGTGATATGAAAATCAATTATGGTGCCACCAGGAGCAAACAAAGCTGAAAATGGTGCCAAGTCTCTATCAGACTTGCCCAAGCAGACAGAGATCTGGGGTGTTAGTTAACTTGTCGCTCATTATGGCAAAATAGTATGAGACAGCAGTAAACAAGGTAGACAGGAATATATTGCTAAATCTATTGAATTTAGACCTGCAGGCATCATACTCAAGCTATATAGTGCTCGGGTCAGGCTGCACCTAGAGCAATGCATACAATTCTGATCACCGTGACATAAAGAGGGTTGGCAAGACCCTAGAGGCAGTGTGGAGGAGAGCAAGGAGGATGATCCCCAGTGTTAGGACAATAAGCTATGAGCAATGATTAGACAAACGGGCTTGAGAGAAGATGTCTCAGAGAGGACTTCATAGAGGTGTATAGAATTTTAAATGTGATTGAAAAATAAAACCCAGAACAATACTCTATGATGCACCAAGACAGTAGAGCAAGAGGACATAGGCTTAGAGTTGCAAAGGGCAATTTCAGATACCAGGAAATATTTCTTTACTCAAAGAGTAATTAGAGAAAATGTGCTAAAATTATTTAATTACATTTGTAGAAGTTGTTTCCTAAAAAAAATCAATTTGCATCATCAAAATACATTTAATCAATATTTTCTTATGGGCTTCTAATACTGTAACAGTATCATTGTGAACATGAAATGAAAGCTTTCTTGTGCTTTGTTCTCTCTGTACCTGAGGAAATATTAAAATCTGGATGGTGCAGGAAAGTAATGCTGTCTGTTTACCTCTGAGACTTGAATTCAATTCGACTGCAGACTGGTTGTGTAATAGCTTTCCTTTCTCTGCTACCACTCATACATGAAAGTACTTTGACCATTCTTAACCTGATTCCCAGGGGGCATGGATCCATAGTACAAAACTGCCTGTGATGTAACACTTATTTGGCAGTCTCACTGAGAGAAACCATGAGGATGGGGAAAAATGAAAAAATCACATTGGATTCAGTTCATAATAATAATGATAATCCTTGCATTTGATATAGCTCCTTATCACATAATTGAGATGTCTTAATGTCCTTCACAGAATAAACTGTAAAGTGAATTGATTGTATATTTTGTGAGCGAAACATTCAGTATTAGGACACCTCATTGGGGAAGAAGAATATCTTCCACTATAATTGCCCTAGGAGTGCATCATACAAACCTTGATCGTAAAAACAACATCCTTCACTTTGATGGGCCCAAAATAGTTGATTAAAGTAGTTGCATTAAACAATAAAAATAAGATCATGAAGTGAAGCATGAAGCAGGATTTTGTCTCTTTCTGTTCAGGTCATTCCCATTTAGTTAATTTGCATCTTCCTCTTTGGAGCCCTGTGAAAATGCAGATAATAGGATAGGTGTTGCTGAGCATTGCCAGAGTGATGTGGAGAATTGGCCACCTTTGTTGTAGCAATGGATTGATGTACTCAAAAGCTGAATAAAGTGAGAGAAAACTATCGAATGAAATAAAAATAGTCACCAAAGAATAAAGTAAAAAAAAATTCTATTTATTAAGATGTACACAGTAAAATCAAGATTTGAATATTGCACATGCAGTAGAGCAAATGCAAAAGCAATTAAACCCCAAAATAATTTGCTGTTTTATTTTGTTACAATAATAAACCTTGCATTTGATAAAGCGGCTTATCACGTCATTGAGAAGTCTTAAAACTCTTCAGACAATGTATTGTAGAGTGGATTGACTGTATATGTTGTTGCTGTGAGACATTCAGCAATATGGTAAAATGTCCAAGACCATATTGCTTTAATTTGTAATGTCTGGAACACACAAAACAGTGCTACATAAATAACAGAAGAGAATCTCAGAGAGAAAAAAAATGACAAATGAAAGGGAAGACTTGGGTGTGTTTAACAGTATATCTACTCCCAGTTGTGAGAGCACAGAGACCTTACCATAAAGAATATGAATACATTTTCTCATCAATAAATTTAAATGTGCAGCTATTTATATGCTCAATTTCTGAAGGTGTTTTCCTGGAAAAGCAATGCAATCTGCATAATATAGGAACAAGACTGCTCCAAAACATTCTTAGAGCCATAAATCATTTAAAATTAAAAAAAATTTCAATGAATTTCTAATGCATTTCTGCATGTAAAAATAATAACTTCTCCAAAAATACATTCATGCCTTTGAATGTGATTTAACTGTGTTTTTGTAGTTGCTGCACTTTTGGATGTCAATCGATTCTTAAAAGCACTTGTTAATCTATTTTTTAACCATATCAGTTTTAAAATGAAAGCAGCCAGTAATGTGTATTTATTATATAAATCTTTCTACATTATAAAACTAGGTCTTAAAATAAATAACTCAGAAATGTTTTTAATAATTAGTAAATATCAAGTTTTTTTTAAGAACTGGCCTGGACATTGAGTAGAGGAAACTTGAAACATGTGTTTATTGGTGCATCTCACACATGCCACTGCTGCAATCTCCTTCCACGTAACTCATTACCTTCTGGGACAAACTCAGATTTCATTTTGTCTCAACAGTTCTTTTCTCCAGACACTTTCATCAGTTGTGATCTTTTCCTGCTGTCAGCTATGATTCCAAACTACTTGTTGTAGCACAGCGGGTGACAGAATCAGAGGTGAGAATCTCCAGACTCTAACTGGCAGATGATCTGCATTGACATTTGTTATAGATTCAATATCCTCATCAGTTGGCTGTCTGTCACCCAATGGCTGGACTGATGGGCAGTAGTCCAGGGCTGGCTGGAATAGATTAGTTTGATATCCACTTTCTTAAATCCAAATTTTGCTCTGACTGTATATCCTAAACTGACAAGAAGTTCCAAAATATGAGGTAGCACTGCTGAGTTCGCTTTGTCCTGTTCCCTCGAGGATTTGCATGGTAATGAGCGATGCCACTTTTTTTCCTAGCAGATGTTAAGGCCCCTTGAGGCCCGTTTTCTTTTGCTCTCCAGTAAGCTAAACAGGAGCTATATCACAACTATAAAATACATAATACAAATTAGGAGGTTAGCCTGGATAATATGTGAAAGTATTTTATACCCAGCAAAGATCTTCTCTTTCTACATAGGATTCTCTGCCACAAACTGTTGCTGAAGCTGAGGTTTGCAAATTATGTTAAAGTGGAATTAAACGGATATTAGGGAAAAGAAGAATAGTAAAGGGTGCGGGCAGCGAGCAGGAGAGTGCAATTGGATGAGATGGCTCCTGCAGAAAAACACTTACTTGGTGAAAGGCTCGACTATGCAAACCCCCTGCTTGTCGGCCTTCCCAACTCCTCCCTTCACAGGCTACAGATAATCCAGAACTCTGCAGCCCGTGTCCTCTCTCGCACCAAACTCCGTGACCCCATCTCCCCCACTCTCGCCTGACTTCATTGGCTCCCTATCCTTCAGAGGATCCAGTTCAAGATCCTGGTCCTCACATACAAAGCCCTCCATGGCCTTGCCCCACCCTACCTCTGCGACCTCCTAACCCCCTACCAGCCCGCCCGTTCCCTCCGCTCTGCCGGCTCCGGCCTGCTCCACGTCCCCCGATCCACCCGCCCCACCATTGGCGGGAGAGCCTTCAGCCACTCTGCCCCCAACCTGGAATTCCATCCCCCAGTCACTCCGCCTCTCCCCCTCCTTAGCCTCCTTCAAGTCCCGCCTCAAGACCCTCCTCTTCGACCATGCCATCGGCCACCCCCTTCCCCTCCCCTCCCTTTCCCCTCCAACCCCAGCTCGGGTCTGAAATGCTGTACTCCGTCCAGGGCCTTGGGACGTCCTCCCAACGTGAAAGACGCTATACAAATATAATCTTCTTGTTGTTATTGAAAGTCCTGTTCCTGTGTTGTAACATTCTATAAATCGTTGAGAATTAGATTGAAATGGGACATTCCACTGTAGGAATCATCTAGTAGGAATCCTGAATCTCAAAATATCACGGTTTCCTCAAACTATACACACCCAAATAGATTGTTACTGGTGTAGAGCTGTGCACTGATTTTGAATGTCCAGTTTGAATTCATAATTTTTGGCATTGATTTCTTAGCTTGCACCGATGGCGATGTCAACTGTTTGTAATAAGCTCAATTTGCATAGTACCCATTTCGAACAAATGTTTACAATATTCCTCCAGATTACGGCACAAAGCAATCTCTGGAGCTCACGTCCTGAAAATCCGAGGAAAAGGAAGTATTTTTATAATGTGGGTGAAGATGGAGTGTACGTTCAGCGCCTTGGGACGTCCTCCCGACAGGAAACGCGCAATACAAATGTAATCTTGTTGCTCTAAGTTGTATGACCGAACTTGTAGGTAAATTAGATTGTGAATCTAGTAGTTATCTTTTGCAATACACTGTACTCTTTGTCTAATCATTTTTGCTATCCCTGTTTTGTCAATGATTTCCAATCACTAAGCAAAGAGGAGTGATTGAAGTTAGTATTCATGGTTTGTGATAAAAGTAGAATCCAGTGGCTAGTTCTTTTGTAGCACAAGTATTTCATTGTGCCAGCAAAAAAGAGGACAGATCTCAAAGAAAAGGTTTGTATTCACTGAATCAAAGATGAGCAAAGCAGTGAGGAGCTTACTTTTGGTTGTTCAACAGTGACCTTCTTTTGTAAACATGATGCTATTTTATTTGAAGAGTTTTCACCCAGAACATTGCTTTGAAACCGAAGCTGACTACAGGCAGAATCGATACTACATTTAGAATGTCCTTACCCCTGAATAAAAGTTTCCTTTGAATGGTATACACTGCTGACATTGGTGTGGGTGGCTCTTTTCTCAGTTGGCTGATGAGTGAAATGTAGCATTTTTGCACCACATGGAAAAAACAACACAGTTACAACACAGCAGTGGAATGTCCCATTCAATTATCTAAATCTCATAACCACAACCAAGCTGTCCTAACAATGAGATTGAAGCCAACATTAGCAACATTGAACAATGAGTAAGAAAAAGTTCTGCTTGAGAAAAGGGTGACATTATTCAATGTTTTCTGGCAGATCTTTTCTATCATCATAGTAGGATAGGTGAGTGCAAATGTTAACCTTTGTTCAAAATAAACCCAGTCTGTGGATCTCAGGATTGCAGCCACTTCGAGGTGAATTATTAATATGCATGTTGTGTCTTGGTAAAATTCTATGTAGAACGTCATTGAGCACAGGGAAACCGAACAGTTACAACAATTACAAAATTAGTCAAAAGTCATACATTTTGTGTCTGTTTTCACTAGTGTCCTGAAATGCAGTTGTGCTAGTAAAATAACTACTGCACAAGTAGGGCTGTTTGCTGTTCTGGTGGTAGGTTCAAATGCAGCATTACTGTATTTTTCAGGGTAACTTAAAGATTGGAACTTCATTTCTAACGTTTACATTTTTTTTAAAAATTGATCCCGCAGGGGCTTGCATTCACTTTATGTCAGGAAGAATTTTGAGAGCGATAAGTGGAAATGTGGTACAGTCCAATTTGTGTGAGAATCAATTGGAAGGTTCTGCAGTCTCCGATGAATACCAGTACATGACGTGTACACAAGGAATTATAAAGAGAGGCACTTTGTCAGGTTGGGTGGTATACTTCTTTCAATGAAAAGCCCAGTATGGTTTGCTGCTTCATTTATTTCGGGACCTTTTCAGCACATGAATAATTCTCTCCGAGCAATACTTGATACAAATTACCTGGCAAGATGAAAGAGCTGGGTAAAAAATGACTTGCATTCCCTTAAATCAGGCAGACTGCTCACTCACCAGAAGTTGTGTTTATTTATACCCTTTTAAGTGCTTTTAAAATTAATTCCAAGGTTTTTGTTCTATGTCTGACAAACTTACATTGAAAGATATTCTTGGTGATCTGGATAAATATGTCACTACAGCATTTGAGCTTACCTGTGTTTGATTGCTGGCCCAGTGATTATTGTTGTACTAAGGATTTGTTCTTACTGTGCCCACGTAATACTATTCTCTGTGGTGCAGAAAAAAACTTTGGGTTGTATTCTCACCTTGACAATGTTATATGCTGGCTCCATTGCTTGTGGAAATGAATTAGAGTATTTGTGTTGGGCAATACAACAACAACAAGATTCCATTTATAGAACTCCTTTCACGTCGGGAGGACGTCCCAAGGCGCTGGACAGTTGGGTCAGGACCCGAGCAGGGGGGAAATGGTCAGGGTGAGGGGAGGGAAGGGAGTGAGCGAGGAGGGGGTAGGGAGTCGAGGGGGGAGCTGAAGGCTCGGTCAAAGAGAAAGGTCTTGAGACCGGCCTTGAAGGAGGAGAGGGAGGAAGCAAGGTGAAGGCACTGGGGGATAGAGTTCCAGAGCCTAGGGGCTGAGAGGCTGAAGGCCTGGCCACCGATGGTAGGGCGGTTGGGGCGGGGGATGTGGAGCAGATCGGAGCCAGAGGAAAGGGCAGGTAAGTAGGGGAATAGTAGGTCGGAGAGGTAGGAGGGAGCAAGGCCGTGAAGGGCCTTGTAGGTGAGGATGAGGATCTTGAATTCAATCCTCTGGGGAATGGAGAGCCAGTGGAGGTGAGCGAGGGTGGGAGTGATGTGATTGCGAAGCCTGGTGCGGGACAGTACACGAGCTGCAGAGTTCTGAATGACCTGCAGCTTGTGGAGGGAGGTGCCGGGAAGGCCGGCGAGGAGAGAGTTTCCATAGTCCAGCCTTGAGGTGATAAAGGCGTGAACCAGGGTTTCAGCAGCGTGAGGGGTGAGGTAGTGCCGTAGTCTGGCGATGTTTCGGAAGTGATAGAAGGCGGTGCCAGTTGTGGCGCGGATATGAGGGAGAAAGGACAGCTCAGGGTTGAACAGAACACCAAGGTTCCTGACTGGCTTTGAGAGGTGGAGAGTGCAGCCTTGGATGTTGTTGCTGTCAGCTCCTGAGGTGCGGAGGCGCAGACGCGAGCCAATTAGGAGGGCCTCAGTTTTGCGCACATTGAGCTGAAGAAAGTTGTGTTTCGAGAATAGAGAAGTGTTTACATGAGAGAAGAGAAGTGTTTACATGATTCATGGGATTGATTTTGAATAGGAATGTACCCATCTTCCCATTGAATCTATAATAATAATAATAATCCTTGCATTTGATATAGCGCTTTTCACGTCGGGAGGACGTCCCAAATCGCTTCACAGAATATACTGTAAAGTGAATTGACTGTATATTTGTGGGCGAACGCGGCAGCCAATTGCGCACAGCAATGTCCCACAAACAGTCGTAGATTGAAAATGACCAATTTATTATTGTTTGGGGTTTTTTGGAGGGATTATTATTAGGCGTGTGGAGTAAGGAAACTTGCCCAAGGTTTCGCCCTGCCTGGAATTGAACTCAGGTCTCTCGCTTGCAAAGCGAGTGCTCTAACCACTGAGCTACAGGACTCTAGTGAGGAATATGCAGAGGTTTCCTTTGGGTGCAGTAAAAGTGTGATATGCATTTAACTCAGTAGTTCAGCCATGGTGGAGCTTTGGTTTCTGTTTCAATCCTAATTCCTGGTGTAATAATGAAACCCAACCCCAGCACTGCATTGGAGTGTCAGTTTAGACTATGTGAGTTCAGGTCCTGACATGGGGCTTGAAACCACAATCTTCTGACCTAGAGGTGAGAGTGCTACCACTGAGCCAGATTGACACACGTGCTTGACTGACTTCTGAATTTAGTCAGACAGATGAGGATAACTCACGTTTGATATCAGCGAGGTGAGCATGCTGTAAAATTGTGCTTGAAACATCTTTAAGTTATAATTTTTCACATGGAGTCATTGTTTCTTCTAATTGCAGGTATTATTCTGTTTTGTATCCTTTGGAGAGGAAGATCTCAGATACAAAATCCAGGGATCTGGTAATCTACATCTGGATTCATGCGGTTATAGCAAGTGTTCCAGTTTTTGCAGTAACTAATGTGACAGATATCTACGCCATGTCTACTTGCACTGGCTCACGGAGCTACTCAGTTGGGCATTTGGTTTACGTCATCATATATAATATCACAACTATAATCCTGCCCGTTGCTGTGGTGTTCTTGTTAATGATTCTGATCCGCAGAGCTCTCAGCGCGAGTCAGAAGAAGAAAGTGATTATAGCAGCATTACGTACTCCACAGAACATAATTTCCATCCCGTATGTTTCCCAACGGGAGGCTGAACTGCATGCCATGCTACTGTCTATGGTGCTGATCTTCATTGTTTGCAGTGTTCCTTATATGATCTATGTGATTTACAGAACCATTCTCAATATCACTGACATCTCTGCCTCTCTAATGCTGACTGCAATCTGGTTGCCCAAAATTTCCCTGCTTGCCAACCCGTTGCTTTATCTGACCATCAACAAATCTGTTTGGAAATGTTTAGTGGGGACCGTTGTGCAGCTCCATCGCAGGTACAGTAGAAGAAACATTGTAAATTCCAATGCTCTCGCCACACTTGAACCCGCCATACGGTCGGGTAGTCAGTTACTAGAAATGTTCCACATTGGGCAGCAGCAGATTTTCAAACCCACTGAGGATGATGATGATAATGAAATCAAATCTTTTGGATCTAATGAGTGCAAGCATAAAGAAATAGCCACCACCAGCTTGGAAGTGGAACAAACTTTACTACAAACATTTACCCCGCAGAATAACCTTGACTCAACTACAGTGGTGGTGGCAGCAGCAGCAGTTGCAACAACACCAACAACAGCAGGACCTGATTCAGATACAATCTCAGACAAGTATGCAATGCAGTTTGGGTTTGGCCCATTTGAGCTGCCTCCACAATGGCTCTCTGACACGCGGAATAGTAAGAAAAGGCTCTTGCCTCCCTTAGGCAACACACCAGAAGAACTGATTCAGACCACTGAAAGACAGACCAAATGCAAAGCAGAGAGAAAGATCAGTAGGAACAATAAAGTAAGCATATTTCCTAAAGTGGATCCCTAGCCCACCTTGTGTGATAGCACAGACTGACTTATAGCAAACATGATCCCATGGATCCTTATTTCATACAGCAAAATATTGCTGCATATAGAATATTATGGACGCCAGACTCTATAAAACTGAAATATGATCTTCAAAGCAGGATTCTGCTTCAAAATAAATTATAGATTTGCTGGTACTTATGATCAAGCAGAGTTCAGATGAAAGAAATTGCCACTTGTACATTCAGCTGTATCTGATTAAGGAAAACTCTTGTAGCTATGTCCTTCAGAGGTATGTGCACCATTCATATTTTGAATTGAACAAATAAAGAGGGTACTTCGATTTTAAACTGTTACATTTCAATAGTGAACAGACTTGACAACTGTTTTGAAAATTATTTGTTTTCTTAAATAATTTAGACAAGGGTTGCTTTTGATTTAAAAAAAATTGGCATCTAGACCTGTTCATCACAACAGTGTAAAAGAAAAATCAACTCCTGCAAATGGAGATTATGTTGCACAGAAAATTCAGTACGTTAGTAGTCTCTTTTTGATGACTTTCGTGACCTGGCCTGGGCTGTTCAAATGTAGTATAGAAAACCGAGCCAGCAATCACCTAAACCAAATTTCAACACTTTGAATGGTGCCCAGAAGTTCCAAATGTTACAATTATCACAGCATTTTGTTAGTGTTGTTTTCAGGTCAAGAATCAAATCAATCTGTTCAATGTCAGAATATGAACCATTTAGTTTGCTCATGTACTGTTAAATGTAATTGTTCAACAATTTGAATAATTTGCATTTTTTTTAAAAGAAAATGTTTCATTTGATAAAATATTTGGAAGAGTAAATCTCCATGCAGGCCATTTCAAGGGTTCCAGAACCTGTAAGGATTTTAATTTTCAAAAATGTTTCAAAGATCGAATTGTGGATTATACATCTGAAAATGTTCTCAAGTATTTGTCGTGCAAAAATGTCACGAGACTTCATGATTCAAAATGGCTCTGTGGAAACCCTATCATGCTAGTTTCTGCAGTAGTCATGCAAGTTGCCATGGCGTCTTGAAAGGAGGTCAAGGAAGTGATATGAGCTCAGAAACATCTTAGAACACCCAGTGTTATCCTGACATTGGCAGAGTATTGTCAATCAGATGGTAGAAACATGAATTTCCAATAATAATGCTTGGGTCACTTTCACATCCCCACTCTTGTTGTTTTGAGGATAACAGTTTACATTTTAATGTATGTGCAAAATTAAATTTTTGACATGCAATTTCAACGGCTTCTGTTGCAGCAATTTCCTATTTTCTGCCACTGCACTTCACACTGCTTTATGAAGTGATATTTTTGACTTGCAAGTTAGGCATTTCAGAAGACATGTTACCTTTGAAAACCTGAATATGTAAACCAGCAAAAATATTCTTGCAATCATATTGACCTGAGGGATTCTATAGATCATTTTCAACACTGATGCTAAGCAATTTTTGTTTTATATAAAATTGTCACAATATTTTAGTAATTATTTTGGTGTAGTTTCAGTCATTTGTACTTTGTAAGATTCACTCCTCAGTATATAAATATCACATAACAACGATCAGTATTTTTACTGCAAAACAATATACAATGAACATTTTTGTTCTGTGTCTTAAGTTACTTGCATTTTTAGTGTGATTCTACTGTTTTAAAAAAAAGTATATTTTATATTGGGCTGAAACAAATTACCTGCAGAATTTGTTGCCGATTTTTTAAATTAGCATGAATGTGTATATTTATTACCTTTCTGTATTCAGATTGAGAATTGCCATTAAAAAACAGAAAAACATCACTAAATGTAGAAATAACTTCATGTTCACATACACAAAATATCGTGAGCCTCCTTTTTTTAATATAAAAATGATTTGGGGGCTAGAGCACATCATTGGATCTAGCTATGCCCTAATTGTGTTATATTTGACCTAGGAGTGCTTGATGCAGACACTAGATACTCAAACTGGGGAAGTGTTCCATTTCACAGTTCTAACATCCCACACCTTTGATGAGCACAAAAATATGCATTGATCTTAGAATGAAACTTTATTAGTTTCACTTTGCCAAGAAGTTGCATAAAATAATTCATATCAGAAGCTCTTTACAGTTACTGTTTGGTATTTTCAGAGCATCACATAAAGTCGTCATTTCCTTTCAGTTGACCTATTAAGGCCTGCAGAAAAATGTTTAAATTACAGCCTCAATAGAAATCAGACCTTTTTTTTGTCCCAAGTAATACAACAACATTTTGTCTGAGGTAGGAGCTTGGAAATATTTCTTGCAAAACATGTTTCGGTATTACCTCAGAATGTGTTGATTGATGGAAAGAATGTCCATATGTGTTTGAATAAAATCTAGTTAGGTAAAAGTAAATTTGTTTCTGTTTAAAGAAACTAAATCTTTAAGAAATTAGGATTTGTGTTAAAATGTCTGTTTATGGTGCATGATTAATATGGATGTATGATTTACATGATTAGTCGGAGTTAACATGGCTTTACAAAAAGGGAAATCATGCTTAACAAATCTTTTAGGACGATTTGAAGATGTAAGAAGCAGGTTAGATAGGAGGGAACCAGTCAATGTAGCATATTTAGATTTTCAGAAGGCATTTGATAAGGTGCCACATAAAAGGCTGCTACACAAGATTAAGCCCATGGAATTATAGGTAATATATTAGCATGGATCGAAGAGTGCCTAACGGGAAGGAAACGGAGAGTAGGGATAAACGGGTCCTTCTCAGATTGACAAGATGTGACTAGTGACAAGTGGAGTGCCACAGGATCAGTGCTTGGGCCTCAACTATTTACAATCTATATCAATAATCTAGACAAGGACATAGAACTTAAAATATCTAAATTTGCAGATGCTAAGCTAGGTGGGAGAGTAAGCTCTGAGGATGACACAAAAAGATTGCAAAGGGATATAGATAGGCTAGGTGAGTGGACAAGAAGGTGGCTGATGGAATGTAGTGGGGAAGTGTGAAGTTATTCACCTAGGTAGTAAAACAGAAAAGCAGATTATTTTCTAGAGGGGGAGAGACAAGATAGTGTTAGTGTTCAGAGGGATTTGGGTGTCCTTGTACACCAGTTACAAAAAGTTAGTATGCAGGTACAGCAAGCAACTAGGAAGGCTAATCGCATGTTGGCGTTTATTGCAAAAGGGTTAGAATACAAGAGTAGGGAAGTCTTACTGTAACTGTATAGGGCCTTGGTGAGACCGCACCTAGAATATTGTGTGCAATTTTGGTCTCCTTATTTAAGAAAGGACATACTTGCCTTAGAGGGGGTGCAGCGTAGATTCACTAGGTTAGTTCCTGGGATGAGGGGGTTGACCTGTGAGGATAGATTGAGTAAACTAGGCCTATATTCTCTAGAATATAGAAGAATTAGAGGTTATCTTAGAAACATATAAGATTATTTTGGGGCTTGACAGTGTAGACAGTGTGAGACTGTTTCCCCGGAAGGAAAATCTATAACTAGGGGTCACAGTCTTAAGATTAAGGGTCAGACCTATCAAACAGAGTTGAGGAAACACTTCTTCACTCAGAGGGTAGTGAATTTATGGAATTCTCTACCCCAGAAGGCTGTAGGTGCTCAGTCCTTGAACATATTCAAGACTGAGATTGATACATTTCTAAAGGCTAGAGGGATTAAGAAATCTGGGGATAAGGTGGGCAGATGGAGGTAGCTGAGAAGATCAGATATAATCTTACTGAATGGAGGGGCAGGCTAGAGGGTCCGAATGGCCTATTCCTGCTCCTAATTTGTATGTATAATTGGAATTATACTATATTTTACATTGGTTTGCTCTACCAAGCCAAGGTGCTTTCCCAATTCACGTTGAGCAGAATAATATTTAGAGCGAGGATAAGACCTAGCTACCGGAAGAGAGAGGAGAAAACTGGTAAAAGCAATCAATAATGTTTTGAGATCAGTTTGATTAGAATAGTGTTCAATTTAAAGAATAAAAACACTTGATGAAAATCTAAATTGAAAGCTTTTTAAAGAAACCAGGAGTATTTTTTTCCCATTGACTATAAATGGCAGTGATTTCCTTACAAAGACTGATTTATTTTTTGGAAGGGTGTCTGACACACAAATCTATCATTATGTTTAAGAGGCCAAAGCCAGACGGATCGTTCCTAATATGCATGCCACCTATGCATTTGAAATTTCCAGTGGTTTAAAATATCTATGCATAGGTGACATGCTGGGCTTAAATAATAATAATCTTTGCATTTGATGTAGTTCCTTTCACGTAAAGCGGACATCCCAAAGGGCTTCACGTGATATACTGTGATATATAAAAGGATATAAAAAGTGCAGTAACTTTTGTGTTTGCATAGATTGTTATTAGCCATAATATCTCAATGACATTGATAATATAGATAAGCAAAAGGTTATCTATAAAAGCAAAAGCTATTACATTCATTATTTTTTATTGCATTTGCTGAAAATTTAACTTTCAGATTGTAATAAAATATATTTTATAAGTATTTTATCACAGACTACGGTGATTAATTGTTTCATTACTTTGTGATGAAAACTTAGGTACATATGCAGGCTGTGCATTGCAGATGGTGTGCACAGTGGTTAGAAATGTGGACAAGGATAGTTTCCAACCTATGTAAAAATGGCACAATATGCAGAGATCATAAGTAACATTAGCAGGCGTGCAGAGAGTGTGGTTGCATCATGGACCTCCTACCATAGCATAGTGCTAATTCATGATCCAGTTTAATTAGGTGGAATCTAAAAGCCATCAATTCAACCAAGCACCAACCAGTCATGTAATGCCTTTAGTGTCTACAGCCTCAGAAATACATACATTAACTGCACTTTTTAAACAGGTGTATGCAAATTAACTGATTCCCCTCCCCCATTTATTGCAAATGTACTTTCCTCTTCTTTAGCTGCGGGCTTACGATAATGTGAAGTTCTGCACTGCTGGCAGTCCATAGATGAGCCTATACTTTGGAATAGCAGGGATTACGTGATTAAATGCAGGAAAACTGGTGACAGTTTTGATGTAAACCATCAATGTATTGAGATAAACAAGTATTGTCATCAAACAAGCAAGAGGCCAGCATAAAACTGCTCAGATATCCATTCTTTACTTTAAAATATAATCTTCAGCAATATATTCTCTGAAATAGTATTAAAATTGTGAAGACATGATTCAGGTCTGCATTGTCCTTTGACAATTTGGGGCCTAGAAGAGTTTTTTGGGGGGATTGGGGTCCGTCTGGTGGGGACAACCCTCATTCCCAAAGTGAAATGTTTTGGTCTAATTTGGTTAATGGGGGTGGGCAGGTCTCATCTCGCTCACCAAAAAAAAGTTAAATTGCTTATCTGGAAAACAATATACTGTTTACAAATATGTTAATCCACTTTTAA